CATAATAAATAACGGGAAACTAACAAGGTACTACACAATTTTCTTATGGCATTCCTAGGCCACCATACACAATTCGTAAAAATTCTCAGCGATACTGCACAAAGAAACGTCCACTGAATAAGTTATACATAAATAAGTTATATACATAAGTTATACATATTCAAAACCGTGACTTCCTTCTATGCTCAACACTCAGAGCGAGAACTTTGTCCCAAACTCGCCAAAACTCTGCCAAACAACTCGTTCAGAAATGTTTTATCCTCATCTGGGCTCACTAAAAGTAGTAAAACCTTTATTCTGGAGAGCTTATAGCTGTTTTCTTACATTACTGGCAATGCCTGTTAGTAATGTTTTTTGTTGTCGTTCTCGTAACGTTGTTGTTTCCATTACCATTCAGTCATTGCCACCCCTATATTTACATTGGTATCACGAATGACATTGGCATTGGTATTACCATAGCCAGAACAATGGCAATTGCCATCTTCATAGCCATATCGGTGGTCACTGCTTCGATAATTTCCTTAACCAATGATATTATTGCTGTATCGTGTACTAACCACTACTTTGTCCGATTTTCGTAGGCTTCAAATCCATTTCTCCATCGATGTCGTTTAGCGGAGTGATGACGGAAAGAAGACAGCTTCTACACGATCAATGGCTGAAGAAGCCACCAAATGCTGTATTTCTACAACAAGCTGACTCCTCCCGTTTAATTGAAGAGTTGAAGTTGGTTTTTTGCTTCATCCCCAAAGTTTCAGGTTCAATTTGGAAACGAACCCTGTATAGTGCTGAGAATAATGGCGAACAACTGAAAGGAGTCCCACACAACAAAAAGTTATTCTCTTGGCTCCAAGACTACAGCATTCTTGAGCGGCAAAAGATCTTGAGCACTTACTACAAAGCCATGTTTTTCAGAGAGCCCTTTGCAAGGCTGGCATCAGCATATCGAGACAAAATTAAAAAGCCATGGTTCAAAAGATTTCTCCACCCCGGTAAAACAAAGCGAGAAATAGAGAGGGAAAAAGATCTTCCATTTTCAGCATTTTGTAAGAAGAGTTATTGAAACCAACGCCACTCAGCAAAAAGCTGGTATCGAGGATCAACATTGGCGATCATACGAACATATTTGCCCATGTGAAGTGGACTATGACTTCATTGGTCACTTCGAGAATTTAGATAAGGGAGCACCAACGATTCTGAAGATTATTGGTGTCGATAGCTATGTAACATTTCCTTGTTATCGCTCGTCCAAGACTTTGTCATATATGTCGAAATACTACTCCCAGTTGACGTTAGACAAAATCTTTCAACTGAAGGAACTGTTTGACCTGGATTTTAAACTGTTTGGGTATGACTTTCCGGGGCCTTTAGAGGATATTTTAAGGGAAAAAGGTCTCCTAGAGGAAAGCTGACTAAAGTCTTTGCCTGAGTATCCCGAAGCCGTCTAGTGTTGGTTTTCACGTGACGTCATCAAAATCAAACAAATAAAGAATTCTCAATCCTTTTGAGATTCTAGTTTAGATATCTATTAGAACAGCTGAAGACTTGTCTTTTTATGAATGTTGATAGGGATTTTCGGCTTGTGATAAAGCAAGGTTGAAATTTTAAGCTTTGCGCGTCACGATATCGATATTACAATGACGACCGAGAATGCTGTCACCCAGGTTAAGAAAAGTGACTTATCCACTGAGATTTCGCAATCTGAACAATCCTTGTATGAAAATAAGTACATATTATAGTTGTTTATGAGCCCTTAAAAGACGACTACAGGCTTTTTTATTGCAAAAATCGATTACATACGTTTCTTTGAGCTTCCGTCCGCCATGTCTGTGTCCTAGATAGGATGTAGGAGAAGGGGCCTACGGTTTCTCGTCGTTATGCGAGAAGATTAGAATGTCTAACCATTTGCAGATGTCATAGGAAAGGAAGCACATTCTCTTCAGTTATTTTAAGACCCTGAATGTTGGGTCCGGTCTGGGGCTCGAACCCTCCACCTCCCGCACGGCAGTCCGGCGCTCTAAGCTAAGCTAACCATTTTTTGAACAAAACATTAATTTTTTCGAATATCTCCCGCACACTACGTTTCTTGGGCATTTTACGGTCCCATAAGACCTTCTTTATATTTTTACGCGACGCATTTGAATTAGGATAAATTTTCTCTTCCTATTCTAAGATAGTTATGAAATAGGAATAGATAAGATATTGAAACAGCTTTAGAGCAGAGGCTACATTGAATTTCTTCGCTTTTGATGGGCTCGTAAACCGCTTAGTTCTAGTCCTCTCTCGGTCGAGGAAGTTGACGAAGATTCATTTATACGACAAACTCACTTTGAGTGAGACAAGAGGGTACTAGCTTGTTAGAAGATTTTTCCAATACTTTCTTGTATAGTTGATACTTTCTTTTTGTATACTGAGATTGGCTGCTCTGACTTGAACGTTCAGTACATTTGCAGTTCACACAGTGGACGTTTCAGGGAACTGCACACTCGGGAGTGAATTAGTGAAAGGCCACAACAATAAAAACCATAAAGACCGGTTACGTACACCGCGAAGCCTTACTCAAATCACTGAAGGTCTCGGGCTTTCTCTACAAGGAGCTGACTTAAATAAATAAATAAATGCGTTTCACTGTTCGCTTTCCGCCCTCTCTTCACTGAAATAAATGTTCAGATAAATGGTTTAGCTAAATCGAAGATTGTTTAGGGTGTGGCTTTGTTAAACAAAGGCTAATGACCCTAAATGCCGATAAGTGTAAGGTCATGAACATCGACTTTAAGAAGAACAAGCATGCTTTCGAGCCTGTAACCGTCAATGGGAAGGATCTCTCCGTTGTTAGCTCTGCCAAGATCTTAGGTGTGACTCTCTCTAATGATCTTACGTGGAATGATCATATATCGGAGGCTATCAAGAAAGCCAATAAGAGATTATATTTCCTGGTTCTCCTTAGGAGAGCGGGAGTGGACCCTCGTGACATAATCAACTTTTACTGCACTGTTGTTAGACCTGTCCTGGAATATTGTTCGCGCGTTTTTCACCATGCATTGCCCGAGTATTTAAGTAATGACATTGAACGAGCACAGAAAAGGGCGTTAAGTATCATCTTACCAGATTGTTCTGACAGTCTATGCTGGAGTAGCTATAATTTAGACACTTTGCAGTCTCGGCGCGAGGAACAATGTTCTAAACTGTTTGATGCAATCTCTAATGACCACAAACTATCTCATTTATTTCCTACCAATCATGTAAACCATTATAATCTAAGGAGAATTAGAAAGTACGACCTCCCTGGCGTGCACACCAAGCGTTTTCAGCGGTCGTTCATCCCGAGCATGTGCCGACAAGCAAACAACACTGCGTGAATATTCGACTGATCAAGCCTGCCTAGTATTACTCGATCTTAGTGATATTTTATCTTTTTATAGTTTCTGATACAATTGTAACTTTTATTATATTCCTGTATGTATTATACTCCTGTATGTATCCTGATTATAACATAGTATATGATTTTAAAATATTATGCAATTATACTCCTGTATGTATCCTGATTATAACATAGTATATCATTTTAAAATATTATGCAATTCAGCCCCTTGGCTGCGATGTAATATTTTTTTTTAAACTATTAAACTAACCAGTTTAATATTTTGAACTGGGACTCACTGATCAGTAATCAGTAGCTCTACGATGAATTTTTTTTTCAGGCTTTCTAGACCAGCGTTGTTTTTATGCCAAAAGTGTGATGAATGATTAGCTCTATTTTACAAAAAGTGAATACCTGTTTGACCAGGTGTTAACTTTTTATTAGTCTCATCAAGAAATCAGTCTTTGCTAAATAGGATTAAAAAAAATGAGAAGCCGTCAAACATCAGGAAAGTCAAATTAAAGGTAGATCTTAACAGGTATCATTGTTGCCTCTTTCTAATTTGAGACAAGTTTGAAATCCAATATTTAGAACTGCTGTTTAATTTTTAGTTCCCATTGAATAACATTTTTTCAAATATTTTCTATGCAAACTAACAACAAACAACCTGCAGTCTGCAAGGCAAATACTGACCCTTTGTTTGCCATAAATATTTCCTATTCAGTGAAATTATGTCTATCAACTTTAGGTTGGCCTTTCAGTGCTTGCCTTTATGTATTTGATGTAAGGCTGGGCATAATGTCCTAACCCACACTCTGTGATATATCTACAATGGATAAAATGAAATTATCATAAATAAAAAAACATATCACGTAAAAAACGACCAAAAGCGAAGTAAATAATAAATTTACAAACGGCGCCCCATATTTACGGTCGTTTTTTACGTGGGCGCAGTTTGTAAATTTATTATTTATTTCGCTTTTGGTCGTTTTTAACGTGATATGTTTTTTTATTTATGATAATTTCATTTTATCCATTGGCTATTTAATAAAACCAATCTTGCGTTACTTGGTTATTTGATATAACCAATCTTGCGTTATTTGGTTATTTGATATAACCAATCTTGCGTTACGTGGCTATTTGATATAACCAATCTTGCGTTATTTGGTTATTTGATATAACCAATCTTGCGTTACGTGGTTATTTGATATAACCAATCTTGCGTTATTTGGTTATTTGATATAACCAATCTTGCGTTATTTGGTTATATCAAATATCAAATCAAATAACCAAATAACGCAAGATTGGTTATATCAAATAACCACGTAACGCAAGATTGGTTATATCAAATAACCAAATAACGCAAGATTGGTTATATCAAATAACCAAATAAAGCAAGATTGGTTTTATTAAATAGCCAAATAACGCAAGATTGGTTTCATTAAATAACCAATGGATAAAATGACAAAAAGCGAAATAAATATTAAATTTACAAACGGCGCCCCATTAGCATCTGTGAGGATTGTCGGTGGTTGTGACTTCCTTATTAATGACCATTCATAATACGTATTTGCTGGGGACATAATACGGGCTCCTACACGACATACTTACTTTTGCGCAGACCTCCCGGATGTTGATAAATAGCATAATAGCACGACTACTGCAAACCGACATGAAATCAGCCGAGGATTCCTTTGGGCATAAACAAGGGCACTAAACAGATGTTGTCCCTGCTAATTTTCGTCTCCTTCGTCACCTGTGCGAACGGTATGTTTCTGAATGTTTACCTGGTGTACTAGGGAATATATAATTTTCCGACATGCTACCGTTTTGAAGTTGAGTTCGGTAATACGTGTTTGAGGGCATTTTCTCTGTGTTAATTCATATTTTTTTCAACTTTTTTTTGTCAAGGCGGGCGAGTACACTGATTAACAGTTTTAGCTGTGAGCTTTCAACTTCAGCTATAATTTAACGCGACCATAGACAGGGTTTTCAATTGATATACACTCTTAGATCGAGTCAGTTAATTCTAGAGGGGTTAATCACAGATGATGTGGAATGGTGTAGGGCTATGAGTAATCTAAAAACACCCCATGCCTTTACGGCAAGTCGAAAAAACAACAAAGCCACATCATTAAAAATGTATTATTAATAATAATAATAAAAAAAAGCAAGAACGACACGGTTGAGTGATTGCAAGACAACACAAACAGTTACGTTTCTCAATACGCCATAGCTTAAACGGTATAATCAATGGACACTGCTGTATTTGTAATGACTGTAACACTGCAATGTGAGAATTTGTGCACAACAATATTTAAGGCTTAGCAACACCAGAGCAATGCAAATGTCTCCTCATGAGTTGTGCAAGGTGCACAGTCACAGTGCTGGTATGCTTAGGGTGGTATGCAGATTTTTTTTTTCTTTGGTAAGTGAGTAGTTTGACAGTTAATGTATTCCAAAGTGACCAATCAGAAGTGTGGCAAAGTAAAAGGTTTGGGTAATTTTTTTGAGGAGTTTTAGAAAGTTTTAAAGCCAAGGCTAATTGAGGGTACTAGGCTTGTTAACTGACAATTACTGTGAATGCAAAAATCATAAAAATGGCTTTTGAGCTAGAAGCATTATGAAGAGATTATAGTATTTGACCACACTTTTCCTTACATTTTTGCTCTTTACTGAGTTAGAAGAAACTTATGTGGGATTTTGTTTTAATTGTTTTATATGTGTCCACAGAGCTCGTTATCCTAATTCTCCATATAAAATTTGTTCAGTGCAATGTTTCACTTATGAATGCAAAATAGAATTGTAGAGGCTAGTGCTTCTAAAAACTGCGCAACAAAGAGATCACCTTTTCTACAAGCTTCCTCACTGCTGTTCTAATATTTTTTAACACAGATGTCAAAATGCACTTTTTGTTTCACTTCTATAAGAACTTGTTTGAAAACTGCAGAATTATTCAATCAATGTTCCATGTTTTGTTTACTTTATTTCTTTCTGTTCATAGCTACTGTTATTAACTTAGTCGTTTGAGTTTTTTTTCTTGCAGTTCCCCATTATACTTTTTTTTCTCTTTCAAGTATTTGCTCGAAAACTGAAAAAAGCATGTATTCATTCAGTGTTTCATGTGTGTTTACCCTGTTTCTTTATTTTCATAGCTTTTGTTATTCACTTTTTTGAGGTTTGTCTCTCCAGATATTCTATTATATTTTTTTGTCGTACGTTTTTTTTTCTGGTTCTTTGTTGTAAAGCAGCTGCAACAACATGCGAAGAACAAAGAGACCAAGCCTCACAAGACGGCTTGGTGGGCGCGTTTGTCCCAGAATGCAATGCAGATGGTAGTTTCAAGCCTGAACAATGCTGGGGATCAACAGGGTACTGTTGGTGCGTGAACGAACATGGCGCTGAAGTACCGGGTACTAAAGTACGAGGAAAACCAGAGTGCAGCAAGAAAGGTACCTTCAGTAACTTCAGAAATCGAACTAATTGGAATCAAACGTGGCCTATTTTGTTTTCAAACACTTCATTAGATTATCTACACGTGCTCGTTTAACCGCCGCTTAAGTGAGTACTGCATGGCAAGCACCGCCCCCAAATGAGCGACGCACTTCATGTAGAACATAAAGCAACGCCTTTCCATTTCTACCGTTATTTTCCACCTTCTTAACCATCTACCACACGTTATTGCGTGCATGAGAGTACTTAAAACAGCTTACAAAGTCAAGTATTTCCAAATGGCAGACCATGCGCCGAGACCCTTTTGTTACTCGAATCTTCGAATTCAGTTTGATGCGTAGAAAGTTGCACTTAATATTTTTCCCCTACCACTTGGCCTTAAGCGAGAACCCTGGTGTCGATCTACACAAGTTAAGCTTAAATCAACTCCCAAAAGAGTGAGTCATCCCTTGATACTGTAGAATATAATGATTTCTCGTCATACTTTGCTGGTATAGGTGTCCTATCTCTTTGCCAAAGCCTTCAAGCAATCATCGTCAACGTTCCGGGTTGGTGCGGACCTCCTAGGTGTAAACCGGACGGAAATTTTGAGGAAGTGCAGTGTTGTGCCAGCACTGGGAAGTGTTACTGCGTGGACAAGGAAGGAAAGAAGGTTAAAGGAACGGAAAAATCTGGACAACCAGATTGTGAATGTATGACCCCATCATTGAATGCTTTGTAATTGTTACAATGAGTTAAGAAATGAGTCGGAGAATGAAAACAGGATCGAATAATTGAATGTGTGGGAAAGAGACAAATAAACAGAGTAATATATTAGTATTCAGATAAAATTTCGGTGGGGCCCTAGTTCTTTCGGATAGTCCGAGATCGACTCCTTTCTGGGGTCATAGGATTATGATGTTCAGCGAGACATTCTACCCTCGCAGTGGCACACAATCTGTTCTCTGAGTTACCTATGTTTCCCCAACATCTAGTAACTTCTTTAAAGTTCTGTGGAAACTGGAATGAACTCCGACAGCCATGCACTGCATTTTAGCTTGTCTTTGTTGTTGTGTATCCAACCAATACTTTTTTTTTTATCGCACTTTCAGCTTACACATCGAAGTGTGAAAGAACAAGGCTGGAGGCTTTAGCGAAAGGTCCTTTACCAGGACAGTTTATTCCACATTGCAGAGAAGATGGCTCTTTTGAGCCCGTGCAATGTTGGGCCAGCACTGGATTTTGTTGGTGTGTTGAAGAGAATGGTGCGAAGAAGGATGGTACCACGGTGCGGTTCAAGCAACCGGACTGTTGAAAAGTCAGGTGAAAAGATATACGTTTTTTGATACTGATTGACAAGTTGAATTTAGCCTTTGAACTTGTGTGCATAATAAATAAATGTGCTATCGATGTGGTACTAGTTGATATTCTCAAGTTAATCCGCAATAAGCGCCTTTCCTTAAGGTCAAATTTTGAATTGAATTTAGTTTAGAAAGTGTAGTTTAGTGAATTGACCCGCAGTGTAGGCATCACAATATCACACCTAATTTAGGCTCCTGAAGGCGTATTTTTCGCCCTTGGGGCGGCATTTGCTCACGATTCTTCAAACAAACAAACAAACTATACATTAGATGTTACCAACAGCTAGGAACATTTATGAGTCTTTTCTTGATTGCAGAGTTCAAGAGGAACACTCTCGCGGGACGAACAACTAATAAAACCTGTTCTGGCCTGAAAATAGTGCAGTATTAGTTTCGTTAAAAACGAATGGCATAGTTGTAGAAATAAAATGACTAGACTGCACAATCCTTGCGGTGAAGAAACTTGTAGGGAGTAGGATGTTGTTATGATTACTTTTTTTTTACCCCCAGTAGTGGGTGGGAAGGCTGAGGTCACAACTTGAGACAAAAGAGTGTCCGATAAAGTACAGTGACTCTTCTCGTTTTATGCCTTCCCTGTCCCCATCCTCATGTCTGCTATACTAGAGTGAGATGGATTTTATGTCATGTTCTTTTACATAGTACGTAACCAAAGTCGATCTTTGGATCGATTTATCGTTCACGAAAGTGTCTGGACTGAACAGATTCTGGGAATGAGCTTACGAAGGCTTCTGTTTGTGCACAGTTTGGAAGATATCTTACAAGAAGTTCCCTATCTCCTTGTGCGTATCTTCTAAAATAGATAAATCGAAAAGGTGATCAAAGTCCCCCGCTTCTGACTGCTTTTATCGGGAAATATTTCGTTCCCCGTGAAGGAATCAGAGAAGCTGTTGTAACCAATCTTAATTAGTGAAAACAGATTGCTTTGAAAGTCCTCAAATTTACAAATTACATGTATTTCTGGTCATATATTCCAGTTTGGAATGGTGTAGGAATTTTTATCGTCATGAACCCCTCCGTTTCACTCCGAAGATCAATGTTAATATTGTTTGCAATGTACGTCACACATCTCTTATAATTTTCGCTCTGAGATTTTGGTGATCCAATGGTTACTAAGTTTCCTTTTTGCCCCAGTTTTTGTAGATAAATTAATTAGGTGTCGTAAGGAGAAACTCGTCTTTGGTCACCGAGAGTGAAAGGACGAAATGAGCTATTAGCAACAAAGTCGATCTCGCCAGGTGCAACATCCAGACTGTTCCCTGTCACTGACGGCATCCTTAATGACAGAGATGTCGCAGATACCTGTTTTGCTCTTTACATTTTCGCAATCAGCTTGTCAAACACTTCAGCATGTTCAAGATTTACCACTTGAAAGTCCTTAGGCATGAAAGAAATGTTCTCTAATGACATGGTATTGACATCACGTAAAACGATCTTAAGTTGTGATTGCTTGAAATTTGTACCGAAATAATCATCTGGAGATAATAGAGTAATCATGTGTTTATTTACAAATTTGCACAAGAATATAGTGTTAGCGATAATGCCGCTCACTAATTTTGTGTTTTCTCAGTAAGTGCAGGTTTTTTAAACGGTGGTAACGAAAATTGCTTTTTCTTCGTCAAGTTTGTATTCTCGAGGAGTTCCTTTGATACCGATTGTCTTGTCACGAATGCCATTTTTATCATCCCTTCTTAGCCTAACGACATTATGCAACCTTTGGGTAAACCGAGAAGAGATTTCCTTCAGCTGCAATCGGAAATCCTTAGACACTATTGAATAGATCAGTGGATCGGATGCTGAGTTAATTACAACACCGATAACACAGATGTTGTAGATCATCCAGAAGAATTTCTCGAAGAAGAATTCTTTCCAGAATACCAGCAAAACACGAAGGAAATTCAGTGGAAGCATCGAGATCGTGAACACTAGCACTATGGGTGTGAGAATTTTCTTTGCCTTCGAATTCTGCCTCATTCTCTTTTCCTCTCCCGTAAATCGCATAGAAATATGAGAATCTCGAATGTTCTTCTCTCTTGAACGCTGTTTAATAATTGATCTGTGGAAGTTGTTGCTGTGCTGTAGCTGTCTGGTTATCTTAGCATAGGTAAAAACGATGATTCCCAGAGGCAGCAGGTACCAAAAGATTGTCATAGAAATGATGTATACAATGTGTATTGTGTGAGACCAAGCGACATCACAGTACGTCACTGTAGGATCTTCCACAAAATTCATCACGAAAAGCAACGGAAAAGTCACAACGAGAAACGAAACGATCCAAATCACAACAATTACCCATTTTAATGGCTTTGTTGAGATATAGGTGCTGCAACGAAATCCATTAAAGGTAGATATTTTTCTGTAGCGTTCAATAGCTATAGCGGTAATGGACCAAACAGATACCCCGTGGAAGACTTCTGCTAAGGGATAAAAATATAGACACCCCACTTTTCCAAATGGCCAATGCAGCGGAAGTTGCTCTTTCGCCACGGCAATTGGAAAACTGATAGCCAAGATCCCAATATCAGCCAATGCCAGATTCCTGATGAAAAGTTTCAGCCCCGAGCGAAATTTTCGTTGTCTCGATATCACAAATGATACCGTTATGTTTCCAACGAGGCCCACGAAAGCTAACATGACCTCGAAAGTTAGGCGAGCGACCATCACGACAAATGGCTCCTCGTAGTAGGCTTGCTTCATCGAAGGTGATATGTAGTTCTCCCCATCAGAATTATTGTTTTGTACATTCATCACGGCTCAGAATCTTTACAAAACCGGGCGTTTCAAACTCCTGCTAAACAGATCGCTCTCTTTGATAGCCAGATTGAGGTCAGTCGTCAGGCAATGACAGCTTCATGCCACAGCAATTTTTTCTTGAAGTCGGATGGATTGTCTCGTTCTCTTTATCAACCTTTTCTACTCAATACATCTGGTCGCAAACTCTTTTAGTTTCCCCAGGTGGTGTGGCTCATGGTGAATGTGAAGCATTTCAGATCACCTTGATAGACAACAAAAACATTTTACCGTATGTAATCATGATGATAAACTACTTATGCATATGTGATATCCACATCAATCCACTCAACTCGCATATATTTGGTCAAATCAACAACAGGAAATCAAATAAACGCTAACTCACTCACTCCCAGAAGTGATTAAAAATGATTTTCTCCCAACTTCATGAAAAACGTTGTTACGCAAAAGGGAGCCAAGAAGTAAGAAAAATGTCAACTGAAGGAAATTGCTTGATTCAAAACCAAACTCATAGGGTTGAAACTACGTGATTACAAGAATAAAATCGCAGAGGAGGTATTGATTCACAAATCTCTTGACAGTGAAAACATCTCAGCTAGCCGGAATCTTAAACCTCGACTCTGATTGGTTACAAAAGCGCTCGTAAAGGCCTTTCACGATACGAACTGTGGTTTTGAAAAATTTTCCCGCTCTATTTGTTGCTAAGTGGAAAACACAAATAAGCAGAAAAAGACCTAAGGCAAAGTTTTTTCTCTTTCGGGCCTCCAGTTCGGCACACAACGTGTGGCATTTTTGTTGTTATACCGCTGCCCAATCTCTGTCTATTTTCATTATGTCCGGTGCTTCTTTTTGCAGAGTTGCTAGCCAGAGCGAGGTACTGGATGTAAATGGATACTGACCTTCTTGAAAACATTTTTGAATTGTATCGTTAAGCCGATAAGATCACAACGGTAGAGATTCAAGATTGTAACAATAGGCGTTGTTTAGCAGTATTTTGTATTTGTATTTTTGTATTTATTAATTTTTTTTTTTGTATTTGTTTTTTGTATTTTATTGTAATCAGACAGTAGCCTCGTTCGAGTGTCTGAAGGGACGGACGGACGTTTCTGATAACGGGCGAGTTGATGTAACACTTGATGGCAGATATTAAAACGATTCCTTCTTAACTTAACATAGCGGGGCTCCTACGCGCGCTTCCGATTTTAGGCTTTGCTAAATCTACCTACTAAGCTGATCAACTCCAGTGTAATTTACATGACGAAAGAGACTGATTCGTTGAAGACCGCTTTTATCGTTTTGTGTTCCACGTGACATTCTAAGATAGTATTTACAAACATGGTGGTCGAAAGTGGTCAACTTTTTACATTTTAAAACGATGGCTGAAGATGACGGACTGCTTTTAAATCTTTGCTCTAGTAGTGAAAGATACAATGAAGTTCATCGGGAAAGGAAAGATAGAAAATCGAAGGTAAATCATCTTCCCAAATTTATCCGCTAGAAAGCAAGGCTTCCTTGGTATCCATGCCCACGTGTACGAGCGTGTACGTAGACCTTTTATGAACATCACGATCTTCTTTTGAATCAAACTTGATTCAACAAATCAGCCTGCTACTTATCTAATTCTTTTCTTCCTAGTGGAAAGAAAGAAAGTTACAGAAAAGACAACAATACCTGAGGCCACATGCGAGGGGGACCTCACACAAGAATACAGCTTCCATATCTGCTAAGCCGTTACGACACATAGAGGAGAAGTCCACACCTTTCCCAAATAAGCCCATCCAAGGATTAGCGGAGGAGAAGAGAACTTCAGCAAATGTACACCTCTTTTATTTACTTGGAAAAATTTCGTTACTGCTTTCACAATCCTTTAGTGGATGAGTAACGAGGTTTTTGGCATACAGTAGGGATTGACAACATAATAGAGTTTATATCGTGTATAAAATTCACTGGTTATAGGAAATTAGATTCATTTACAACCATCAAGGTTTATTGATGTTTTGAAATGAATAGTAATGTGAATAAATGACTAGTAAGGCTACAGTATTTACTTAAAGCCTTGCATCATGCTTGTAAATCTGCCCTCATTTTATCTCAGTTAACCACACAGGGCTACCTATACTATGGCAGAAAAGCTACAGTGTATGTGAGAAGTCTAATTTTTAGAGATATTTTTTGTTTTCAAGGTTGCAAAACAGTCAAAATCTTGGTAAGTAAAAATAACAATTATTGTGTTTACACTAATTTCTGTGATATCTACTTAGAATGAGACTGAGAGATATTATGTAACTCGAAATGGCATCCTTCCTCCAAGACAAACAAAGAAGAAATTTCAGGTAACTCTAGAAGTAACTGTCAATTTTAAAATGCAGTGAGCTCAGTGGATATGTTTAAAGTTCATTTCACTAAAAAGCAAACCAAAAATTTTCTGAGATATCCATTTTTTAACATTTATGACAGGTAGTTTCAAGTTTGTTTAACTACAATCCAGATATACCCACTTTACCAGCAAGGTTGGTTTTAATACTAGTTTTAATTTGCTAATTAGTGTATGGGGATAAGTTTGATGGATACCTATCACTTAGAGCCTTGGTTTATGTCACACATTCTATAATAAGTTCTCCTATCTCAGTGATAAACTAAATATGTTTCAAACACAAAATGCAATTTCCTAAGGCTCAAATTTTCTTGGGGATGACAGTTTTTTGTTTCACCACGTACCATACTCCTAATGATATTTTGAGAAATTTTGTTCATATGAAGCACCTAGATATTAGCACACAAGTAAACTATCTTACTGTATGTTTTGCATGCATATTCAGTTTCAAGGCTGTGTTTTTTGGACATGTAGTTATACAATGGCATGAAGCACAATTATATTTGACATATAGTTTTATTGTTGTAGTAATGAATCATCTGGTGCAGAAGGAAAACCAAGTGAAAATGTTTTTTCTGCTGAAAAATTTAGTGACTTAGATATTTCTCCATTCATGGTAAGATGTGCATTATTATATAAATATGTAGTATGTCTCACTTTTAGCTTTTAAAAAAGACATAATGTAGATGATGAAACATGGCACAGTTACTGGTAAGTTATTTATGATAAACATTGTTAAAAGAGGGCCAGGAAACAAAAGACAAGCTATGACAAAAAATAATTTCGAACATAATTTCATGCCACTGAAACTGGCTGGCGCTTGTAGTTTTAGTAACTGCACTAACTCCCTTTACACAGTTTTACATGGTTGGCTCTTAAGTGGGGAGAATTAGCAAAATTTTTGTCTTATAGTTGATTATGTTTTGCTCTCTACTTACAGATTTCCAACCTTGAAAATAATTTGAAACTGACCACAATGACTAGGTACAGAATATTAAGATATTTCACTTTAAGGTCTATCTTGTTCTCAGATATTTACAACACAATCAAAATCTGAATAATTGTTTGAAATGTACTATGTTGAATTATTACTAACAGTGTGGTGAAAAATAAATTTTGAACTTCACAATTATTCATATGTGGATAGAGTGTGCATTTGTTTATGTTTTATCATTATTTTTGTGGTTTCAGTGTTCAAAAAGTTGCTATTCCCTCATTAATTGAAGGAAGGGATGTATTTGTGAAATCAAAAACAGGAACAGGTAAGGTCGACGTGAACCTGTGCCAAATTATTCTTGAAAATAACTCTTGTACTGCCTAGAGGCAGGAGTCATGTCGAGTGTGGAAATAAACAATGAATTAGCGATTTCAAAAATTTTAGCATGGGTTTTTATTGAGGGGTTGGGCATCGGGCAATTTGATGGGTGGTGAGCTAGGATGGTTTTGCCCACCTGGTTTGACCATCTGGAGGGAATTTCATGTCATAGATAGGTTCAGTTCAAAAAGGTTTGCCTGCCTGTGAAAACATTGACAAAACCCGTGTTTTAGGAGGTCTATTTTAGCCCAGCTCTCGTTTCTGATAAAATAGAGAATACAGTCTCAAATCGGCAACCAATTGCTCATATTATTTGTAATAGTGATTTTGAGTTAATTCATGTGTTTACTCTTAATTTTTAGGAAAAACTCTCACATATGCAGTGCCTGTAATACACTCACTTCAGAATATCACACCAAAAATTTCTGTAAGTAGCCAATTCAAATTTATAGTTCAACAAATACAAATTTCAGGCTTCTCAGTGGAAATAAGATTGTTTTCTTTATAAAGTCATTGGCATTGGCTTGATGACTTTGTTGGTTTTAGTTCTTTCATCCTCATTTGCTGTTTAATGGAGATCTCTCATTGCTCAGTTTTATGTCTGTTGTTTGTTGTCTTTCTTTAGAGAAGTGATGGTCCATATGCAGTGATTTTGGTCCCCACAAGAGAGGTAGTCATTGCACAATTATCATAGGAAATAATTGTTTTTAGATAGATACACAAATTATCAAACATTATTGATAGTTATAGTTAATTATTATACTTAATATGAAAATCAATAATGATTGTAATTATTGTAATAGTGACAGTTAACTGAATGCATGTAATTGAATTATAATGATAATTTTTTGTTGATTAACTTACATGTATTCCAACCTTATAACTTCTTAATTTTATCTTGAAACTTTAGCTTGCCATACAAAGCTTCAATGTCCTGCAGAGACTTGTAAAGGTATATCTAATACATGCAAAAAATGCACGTAATGTTTTCTTAATTGCATTGTGTAAAATGCAGTTTGCTTTTTTATGTGCTGGAAATAAAACAAGAATTGTTTATGTTCCTTTTAATTATTATTTGTTATGTTAAAATGAATATGTGTAGACTGATGGTATCGCTTTACTTGCTGGCAACTTTTCTTTAAATCCCCTGATGGTTTCCCACTCATCAGGGGATTTAATGATGATGAGTGGGCAAGCATGAAACAGGTCTGTAGGGATGTATATGTAGTTGTTTTTTCTGCCTACCACACATTACATATAGATATATTTAGTATCTTTTGAATACATTTGTAATGTGCATCAGATTATATGCATATAGATTTATGCGCAATATAAATAATAAAGTATTATTATTATTATTATTATTATTTTGCTGCACAGTGACCTATTTCACCATTGGCAGCCGCTTATCGAAAAAGTTATGGAAACCTCTGCTATACATTATTGTTAACATCATTAAGAGCCCTTTAATTCCAACATGATCTTGTTTTACAGCCTTTTCAGTGGGTTGTGCCTGGAGTAGTTATGGGAGGAGAAAAACGAAAATCAGAGAAAGCCAGGTAAATATTTCAAAAGTGTTTTTTTTTTCTCACTCTTTCTCGGTCGAGTTACATTTCGGAAACGCAGAAGCTACTGATTATCAAAAAGAATCCTCTTTACTTGAATTTCATGGGTCTTTCTTCTCAGATTGAGAAAAGGTGTTAATGTTCTGGTTGCAACTCCAGGAAGACTTCTGGATCATATTGAAGTAAGTTGCTTGACACATGCGCAGTTACTCCGATCTGTAAAGATCTCTAAGCTGAAAACTTTGTAGCAGTATTGTGATATCCCACTCATGTGTTATAGGTAAACTCCATAAACGTATTACTCTAGTAGAAATCTCGACTGATTCTAATGCAAGTCCGCAAGATTCACCCTCTCCCTTCTGTTATTGTATCCGAATTTTCGGAAATTCTCCAACGAGTGGCAAACGCTATGGATAACTTTCCAACGGTTTTTGAGACTTCCGCAGATGTTCCCAGAATTTCCGAAAATCGTTGATATGAAATGTAGCCAAAGTATCCGCTACCCGCTTAATATTGGTTACAATTTAAATATCACTATGATCCTGTCTCTCCAATACTGGCTAAAGCCACTTACTACATGCGTCTTATTGTTGATCGATAAAGAGTTGTTCTCAAAATAACCCTGGGATGTAGAGGAGATTCTGTTGATACCATGTAGTCAGGGGCTTGACTTCAAGTTACCTCGTTTTTCCTTTTAGAAAACCAAAAGTTTGGAGTTAAAGAGGGTTCAGTGGATCATCCTTGACGAAGCCGACAGGTACAAAACAATTCTTTGTCCTACAATCCAACCTTGTTCCAAGTTCTCCTATGTTATATTTCGGCTGCAAACCGCATCGCATGCGCCGCTTCCGAGAAAAGCCGTTTTTACTCATACCGTTTAGATCATCGAGCAATTTAAAATCAGCTCGAAATGTGGACATTTTGCGAGAACAAACCTATCGCTGGGACGAAAATTTACACACGAATTGCCTTCGTTACAGGAAGCCAATCATTGTTGCGACCTGTTTTACCCTAAATAAGTGTATGGCTTTAAAACTGTTATTTTACAAGATAATTGACATAACTCCCTGTTTTAGGTTGTTAGACCTCGGTTTTGAAAAGGATGTTTCATCCATTCTGACTGCTGTTAAGAATTCTCTACATAGCGGAGTCAGATGTCAAACTGTTCTGCTTTCCGCAACACTCAGTGAAGGTGTGTGGCTCTCTCACAAATCTCTACTTTTATTTTAAGGCGCTTGTGCGAATTGATGCAAAACCAACAATCATAGGAATGGAATATGTCGCAAGTAACCGTTGAGAGCTCAAACTGCACAAAGCGCGCGAGTACGAGCATGACCCACTCATGATTTGTTCTTGCTGAAGTTTTATCTGATTTTATCAAGTTCTCTGGACCAATCACAGAGCGAAGTCGACAAAAAATCAATTCAGATTACCTACGACACTCTTTTTAAAAGTACTTGAATTTAATTTTACCCACAGGAGTCGAGAGACTGGTGGGAATTAGCCTTCACAATCCTCTATCTGTTGATGTTACGACAGAAGATGGAGGCTGCGAAAAGAAGGAGGCAACTAACGCACAGGTAAGGACTCGCTGACCGGTAAAGTTTTCGAGCTTTCTCTATGAGACAGCTTTTTTTTTTTTAACTTCCTCTCACAGCATTTCCTATTACGCGCGAAATTACTTACACAGCTTATTGGACATGGATGTTTTTTCGTTTAGAGTCATAATTTACTTTAGTTATATAATTCTTGGTTTTTATCCATCGGCATTGTACATAGTTTTTTTTTACATTTTTCTGATGGTTCACCTGTTATTGCTGTTACTGTCATTGCATTGCTGGATATCAGCTTTCAATTTTTGGAATGAAATATCTCTGGGAAACTTATTTCAACCGCATCCGCTTTTTTTCCTATTCAGAGCTCAAGCGAGGCCAGCTTTACGACTCCTCAACAATTGAAGCAATTCTTCATCATCGTTCCTAGCAAATTGCGCTTGGTAACATTAGCAGCGTTTTTGTTAATGAAAAACCAGCCAGAGGTATTTATTAAGCTTTGCACAGTTGCCATTGTGAAATTTCTCTTTAAAGTTGAATAAATGAAAGTAGTGCGATACAACCTCATGTCCACTTAGCGTCTTTATTCCTTCCATACGGAACGAGGTTGATTGTGACGCACAGAAATTCATGGCACCAACATTTCAATATTCAACTTTGCAAGTAACGAACGCACGCACGCTGCCAATTTTCCTTACGTTAAGCTGTCTTTTCGTTTTCCAGGAATCATTGGCTACGAAGATGATTGTTTTCATGTCAAGCCGAGACTCTGTGGATTTTCATTGCAACCTTTTTGAAAAGTCTCTCTCTTCTGTGGCTAGTAAGGACGCAATTTGATTCTTCTGTTTCTTTAGTTGACCCGCTAGGTTTAATTTACCATTCGTAAAAATTTCATTTTCGTCTTTTCTGCAAGCAGACGAACACGTATATTGTGTTGATAATGTCGAAAGCATGTTTTGAATTCGCTTGTTTTTATTCTGTTAGAGGTACGCCTAGTATTCTTCAAACTTCATGGAAACATGTCTCAGTCGGTAAGTAAAACCAAGGACTCTGAGTTCATGAACTGAAAAGTCATTCATTTATTGATTTATTTTTTTCTGTTTTAGTTTTTTTTTAGCCAGCTCAGAGCCAAATTAGTAACGTTGGCCAATCAGAACAGATTTAACGGAATCTCAAACTTTCTGAAACAGTGTTTTTCCTTTTTTTTTTTTTTTTTTTTTTTTTTTTTTTCTCCTGGCAGGAAAGGACCTCTGTGTTCAAAAGTTTCAGTGACGCAACGAGAGGGATTATGTTTTGTACAGTGAGTAGGCTCTTTGTTAATTTCTAGCCGCTTTTTTTAACCGGAAATATAAAAAGGTGAAGAAGTAAAGTTAAGAAAAAATCTTTTTTATTTTAACAGGGCAGCTTATTCAGCTCGAAGGCTGATATCCCTAAAGGCCCTGTATCGATAAATATAGTTTTGAAGAGAACCACAACGACGCCTGATGAGGTTTAGTGACGCAAAATAAACTTAAACAAACCTAAATATCCTGTTAGTATGTTTTGACGCAAGATGGAAAATTGGACCGAACAAGGGCTGAGACGAAAAAAGCTGACTTTGTTTTCCTGATTTTTAGTAAAGAGAGGTGGAAACGAGCCTTTTTGTTTTTAACTACATTGCTGTATGATCAATTGAACTCATGTTTTGTATATTAGGATGTGGCAGCAAGAGGATTAGATTTGCCTCATGTCAATTGGATTGTGCAGGTATAAATTACAATAGAATATTTCCTTTTTTTTTTATTTTTTAGCCGCGTATGCAATCTTCGCATCCCACATTTTCTTGAGGAAATAAAGAGCTTGCCCACAAAAGTATGGGTGTGGTTGCCATACATTTTCTATCAATTTCGCCGCTCAACACTACAAATTAATGGATTGAATTTTTTATGTTGTTTCTGAGCTAAGGTAGCTTCTTTTATCTTTTTTTGATAACTTTCTGACTGGTTCGATAAATTATGTTTCTAGTACAATACCCCAGGGAACCCAGCAGACTACGTGCATAGGGTTGGTCGAACGGCAAGAATCGGACTGAAGGGGAACGCCCTCCTCTTTTTAACTCCTGCAGAGGTAAGTTTGTTTTTTTTTATTTTGAGTTGGTGAAATATTTATGCATAATGAAGTATGCTGTAGAATAAGGCCCCGTCCACACGTATCCGGATATTTTTTAATCCGCAACGTTTTCTTTCCGGATACGGCTATCGTCCACACGTATCCGGCGAATTCGCAGGCAAATGCGGATATTTTTTAATCTGCTCTCCAGAGTGGAAATTTTTTAATCCGATAACATTTTGGATACGTGTGGACAGTAGAATCCGCATATTTTCTGATACGATGACCTCACAAAATTGGCGCCAGTGTTTACCGCGCAAAGTTAAATATGGCCGCCGATCAAAGGCAAATAGTGATTTACGAAGCGATCTAAAATATTGCCATATTTACTCTGGCACGACTCCCAGTCACTGTTCTCCAAAGATTTTACGGCTTTGTACTATATTGCCACGTTCAATAACAACTCTACCTCGTCGTCGCTCCATATGAATGATTCTGGCTTGTTCCCCTCATTCTTCTTAGCTTTCTTGCCTGATTTCGACATGTTTTTATTTGTTTGAACTGGTGCACGTACACTGAAACATCGAATTCTCGCGGCTGCTAAATGCCGCAGCGCATGCTCCGTAACCAATATATATAGAGTCATCCTGGGTACTAGAGAGAATCCGGAGTGAATCCGGATACGTGTGGACGGGCGAATTCGATTTGAATACGCTGTGACCACACAACGTGTCGACGCGAATATTTTCGTATCCGGAAAGAAAAATTTGCGGATTCGAAAATATCCGGATACGTGTGGACGGGGCCTAAGTAACTTTAGGGAGTTTAAGATGTCAATACGGTGACGTGTGATAAAACTCTGCAGAAAAAACGTAGTTTTCTTCCTCCAAGATTTTCGCCAAAAGCTCGATGCGTTTCTGACGGTACAACATCTTCACTTCGGCATAACATGTGAAGTTCAAAGTAAAAACGTAACAAACTTACTTTCGCTACGATGAAGGGCTAACGCTCGAAACGTCAGCGTTTATAATCGTAACGGTGGCTAATATACCATTTCAACTTTGTTGATATATTCAAATTATAACTAAACTACTGTCGAGGTTTCCTTGCTAAGAGGACGTAAAAGTCAGTGATTCACGTTTTTGTTCTGTCTAGACGGCTAAGAAATATGAAAAATTTTTAAAACGCACGTGTTTCGCTATTGTTTTGCTCATTAGATCTTTTGTTTTGCTACGTTCCCGTTGCCGTCGTCGTTGTGGTTTTCTTTAAGTCCCTATTAAACGAAGACGCTCCGTTGAGTCAGTTCTTATATTTTCTCCATTAAGCATATTTAACGGAAACGCTTTGAGTACGCTTGTCCCCTCCCCCCCCCCTCGCTCCTCCCTCTGAAGCTGCAAGTTTCTTCTAATTTTCTTTGATCCCTTTCGTGTTCGGCCACGCGTTCTATGTTGGTGTTTATTACACGACTCGGGAAGTCAGAGGGCCAATAACTAAAATCAACCAATCAAAATGCTCTATTGCCGGTCATTATTCTCTCAGTATTGGACCGGGCACTGTCCCGAATGATACCGCACTTGTGTCCCTTCGAACTTCAGTCGTGTAATAAATCTCTTATCAACCAAGCTTGCTCGGGACCGTAATGGAAGAATATCGGCCCTCGGTCTTTTCTGTATGGACCTCGCTGCGCTCGGTCCGTACTGTCAAGACCTCGGGCCGATGTTCTCCCAGTACTGCCCTCGCGCTTGGTTGATAAGATATATATATACTCTTCTGTAAGTAAAGGCGATGCAATCTCACTCAACCCACTCCTCATTCTAGGTCGAGTACTTGGACATTTTGAAACAGCACGGAATCAGGTTTGTACATAGAGACAGCAATCAGCGATTGTAATGGTTTTGCTTTATATCGCTCTGTTATTGGTCCAGAGAACTCGCGCTATCCTTTCAGCGCAGTTTGTTAGTTTGAACTCAAGTTCTTGTTGGGCACTTTCACGGGTTTATTACGAATCAACTTAACGGCCTGCTCCCAGTTGGCTTGTTAGCTCAATTGGTAGAGCGCTGCACTAGTATCGCAGAGGTCAGTGGTTCGAATCCCGTACAGGCCTGATTTTTTTCAGGTCTGATTTTCGCTATTGCATAAATAGCGCTATCTACTGCGAGGATCGTGCATCATACGTATCTAATACCGCAGTTCAAAATATATGAACTTCATATATTCATTGTATCTGATTTATCACTTTCACGGGTTTATTACGAATCAACTTAACGGCCTGCTCCCAGTTGGCTTGTTAGCTCAATTGGTAGAGCGCTGCACTAGTATCGCAGAGGTCAGTGGTTCGAATCCCGTACAGGCCTGATTTTTTTCAGGTCTGATTTTCGCTATTGCATAAATAGCGCTATCTACTGCGAGGATCGTGCATCATACGTATCTAATACCGCAGTTCAAAATATATGAACTTCATATATTCATTGTATCTGATTTATCACTTTCACGGGTTTATTACGAATCAACTTAACGGCCTGCTCCCAGTTGGCTTGTTAGCTCAATTGGTAGAGCGCTGCACTAGTATCGCAGAGGTCAGTGGTTCGAATCCCGTACAGGCCTGATTTTTTTCAGGTCTGATTTTCGCTATTGCATAAATAGCGCTATCTACTGCGAGGATCGTGCATCATACGTATCTAATACCGCAGTTCAAAATATATGAACTTCATATATTCATTGTATCTGATTTATCACTTTCACGGGTTTATTACGAATCAACTTAACGGCCTGCTCCCAGTTGGCTTGTTAGCTCAATTGGTAGAGCGCTGCACTAGTATCGCAGAGGTCAGTGGTTCGAATCCCGTACAGGCCTGATTTTTTTCAGGTCTGATTTTCGCTATTGCATAAATAGCGCTATCTACTGCGAGGATCGTGCATCATACGTATCTAATACCGCAGTTCAAAATATATGAACTTCATATATTCATTGTATCTGATTTATCACTTTCACGGGTTTATTACGAATCAACTTAACGGCCTGCTCCCAGTTGGCTTGTTAGCTCAATTGGTAGAGCGCTGCACTAGTATCGCAGAGGTCAGTGGTTCGAATCTCGTGCAGGCCTGATTTTTTTTCAGGTCTGATTTTCGCTATTGCATAAATAGCGCTATCTACTGCGAGGATCGTGCATCATACGTAAAATTACCATTAAATTATCTGAGTAATAAAAAATATTTGTATAGTCCACACTTTTGAAAAACTGCTTAACTTGTTATTTAGCAAAGTTTATTGTTAACATTTTGGGATTGATAAAGCACGGTCATTTATTGCAACTACAAATGATTTGTCTCTACATGAGGTATTTCCGTAATATGAAAGGTCAGTGGTGAAAAGATGCTTCGTCTTTTTCACCGCTGACTACTCGCATCACAGACTGTTTTTTTTGCTTCGTCGCCCGTGATACAGTAGGGACCTTAAGCAACCACGACGGCGACGGCTACGAGGGTGTGGAAAAACAAGATATCTAATTGGCAGAACAATAGGCCAGCACGTGCGTTTTGAAACATTGTAAATTTCTTAGCCGTCCTAGGCAAAACAACATCGTGAAATCGCCGAAATTTGCGTCGTCTACGAACCGAAACCGTGACAGCAAATTAATTTAATTTCCATTTGGAACTCAACGCTACTTTTATACGTCATGCTGAAGCTGAGCTGTGGCGCCGTATAACATGGACAGTAAGCTCCTGCAGCCATTTTTGAAATTCTAACTAAGAGTAGAAATTCATTTTTTAATCGAAGTCTTTTTGGCGTTGCCGTCCTGACTACTTAAGGTCCCTAGTAACTCCCTTCGCAAGAAGCCCGCGAGACGCTAGCGAAAGTGCCAAAGGGAGCCTCCTCGTGGGCTAACTACGGAAGCTTGGGTGGGTAACGTCATCGTAAGCCATTTCAAGCGGCAGGAAGTGCAAGTATAGAAAGTAATGGATGTGCAAAGTAAGGCAAGATAACTGAGTCCTGAAACACATTGCGTCAGGCTTGCTTGGCCATCTTGCGAAAGTTGGACGTGATTCCTCAACTCATTATGCTTGGGAAACATCCATGTTTGTTACACTTGCGGCTATTGATAACGAACCCAACCGCCACTACTCTTCAATTAAATGTAGACTGGACTTTCTAAAGCTTACCCTTGCCATCTTTGACACTCGCACGAAAAAATCTCATTATTTAGAATACATGTAGCATTAGGCCTCTGACAAAGTTCAACAGAAAAAAAGGGGCGTAGCTAAGAGGGTGAGGCTTCTTGACGAGAGGACCGTTTCGACGTTTGCCCTCTCACAGTACTTGTACAAAAATTTCTCAAACTTTTTAAGGCTAACCTCCAAAGGTTTCTATTAACTTCTCTCCGAGAAAGAAAAAAGGGCACCTGCTTTTACCATGCAGGGTGTAGTGTCCAAGCAAATTGTTATCTCATAGATGGGTAATTACGTTAAGGTCTTCTTCAGTCCTGTAAGTCATTATGTCCAAATTATGGACCATTATCTCCTCAGCCGAGTAATTAATTACCCCCAAACCGACATTTAATTGGATTTGACATTGCATTGAAACAGTTAACAGAATATTATCTCCAGCAGAGAGGGGTTATGTTCTCTAAAACCATTAAAATTATCCTATTACAAAGTACACAAACCTCTATCTGCAGCAGCTCTGTATTCTTCGGACTGAAATATTCTGGCTGCGTCTTCTGGTTTCATACTAACTTCCTTGGTTTGGACAAGCACTTGATTTCTCTGCAGGTAACATGAGAGAGAAATGAAAAACTTGATGTTATCATGATACAAATAGGTGGCTAAAGGAATAGGACACACTGGCCTAGCAGTTAGCCCACAGAATTCACATAGAGAGCTGCAACTTTGACACCCACGCAGGTCACTGTGTATCGTTCTTGAATAAGAAGACATTAGTGGCTTTCCTCTCTGAGAGAGTAGAAATGGGTAAATTGACAACCTGTCATTGGAAGGAGAAGGGATATACCTTGGGATGGTCTGACATCCCATCCACAGGGAAAAGAAATACTCCTGGGCCCAGTTGTTTGAAGGCCGATTAGTGCTAACCTAGGTTTGAATTTTAATTGGGGTTTCCACATTTCTCTGTTCAAAAGCCATTTTGGGATAATTTTCCCAACTCTTTTTAGAGTATTCAATTATCAAATTAATTGTAGACAACTGGAATTAAACTGAATTATCTTTTAGAGCTTTCAGATCTGAAATCAAATTTCACACAACCCTGGGTTATTTCAACCCAGCTTTGAACAACCCGGCCCTGGTCGTGCTCTAGGGGTGCAGTGTGAGATGTGAGCCAGTTGGCTAAGTACTGAGTCTTCTCTTCACCTTACCTATGGTAGGTAGCATTTTTGGCATTAACTGGTTTAACATTAACAATAACTTAAATTAATGGTTCTGTCCCCTAAAATGATTACAATGAGATGTACATCTTTATAATAGAAAAAAAAATACAATGTAAGTACTATTAATAAAGAATATCATAAAAGATTATGTTAAATATTGCTTAAAACCTGTTGATAGATAAAAATATAAAATACAAATACAAGATAAATTAATATAAATATAAGATTTGCATCGCAATCAATTCTTAATTTTCAAGAACTTATGAAAAGCACAGCTCATAATTTGTTCTTTAAAGGATAGCTAACTAGGCACTATCCCAAATATTCCCAGGTAAACTGTCCCCAGTAAATGAACGATCAATTGGTAAATATATTGTGCTGTATTTCCGGCTTAGTTTTTCAGTGTTTTGAATTACAGTTACACTGTAACATATCACATTAAAAAAAAAATAACATGTACAGTATTAATATTAAGCATAAGTGAAGTGCATACTTCCAATAAAGGGAACAACATACCTCACGCTTCTGATCAGTTATCAATCGTCTGACATGTGATTTCATTTCAGGATATTGGAAAAACACCACAAGACAAGACTAAAAAAAAAAAAGGAGATTTAGAGTTAATTTACAAATGTTGCACTAATGTAAATGATGTGAACAAAATGTGGCATCCTACAGGTTTCTGAGATTTGAACTTTCCAGATCAAACCCATTATAGCATGCTTGCACACCCAGGCATTTATGGCTTTAAATGGACATGTAGTAGTCATGTACATCTAAACGTAAAGACAAATGAAGTAAAGACAGAAAAACCTTTGGACCAGTGAGATGTCTAGGAATGAGGTAAACTAAAGTTTGCTGTTGTATTTGCTTATGCCCATTTTTTCCGTACCTATAATGAGCAATTTTTGCATAAGGACTAAAATGTGCAATGACCTACAATGACCTACAATGATCCACAATGATCTAAAATATTGTACAACCCAACTTGGATGGTCAACTGTAAACAAGTTGAAATTCCAACTTTCTTTCCAGGTTCGCTAAATGAAAGTAGCACATGTTGCTCTTCATTTGTGGCACTATGATCACAGGAATAATAGTACAAGCTGCCACCCCTGTTCACTCTATTACTGTAAAAATATACTATAACAAAAAAATGTTGCGATCGCCATCTTGTTTGATTACTGCTGGTCGCTGATCACTTTCGTGTTCGCAAGTGTGTTCGAACACAGGCAGCCCAATGTGATAGAGTTTTTATTTTGGTTTGATTTTGGATTTTCTAATCATTCTAGAATGTTTGGTCAAAAATGCACACTAAACACCTTTTATTTGATAGTGCACTTAATCATTTCCCTGTTCTTTATGTTGTTGCCTGCAACTAGAGGGATAATAATAATACCCTGTGTGTGTAGGGGTATAGTATGTTTAGTCAAGAGCCTGCAATATTGACATTTTTTCGTTATTGTCTATTTATCGCACCCTATCAGTAGACCCGTCATGATAACACACCAACTTCTTTCCCACTCCTGTTAACTACATGGACATGAACAGGTGTACACTACATTAGGAAGTGTTTGATTGGATAATACATTAAATGCTTTATTTACTTCATCATGTGGTTTTCGTCTTGATCCAAGTGTTAGTGGAACAACACTCATGGAGGTATCACTTGAAATATTCTTATCTCTGTATTCTTCTGGTGTTGGTATAAAAGTTCCAATATTTGTTGCATCCTCCTAAAGAGGAAGGGCAAACCTTATAACTCTCAAACTGATAACACTATATAACAATATGATTTACCTTACTTTAAAATTAAGTGAATAAACAATTAATTAATCAATCTCTTTGGCAAGATTTTCCCCAAAGATGAATATAAGAAAAAAATGGTATCTGGATCAACTTAAAGGGGAACACTGTAGTTATAATGTCCAAAATCCTTGTTGTTGACATGAACGACTAAACCATTTTCACTCATACTGAATGGTGTAAATTGCACATTAGATGCATTTTTAAAAAGGTTTAGTAGTTTTGCTAATCTGATCATTGCTGTAATTTGATTGTTTACCTCTGGAATTAAGCCCCAAGTTGTTTCTCCTGCAGCTGGTGTGAAATCATGAATATTGCTCCAGTTGTTATTGTATAAGCTTAGTTTTGCTGCCTCAAACTGGCCTACAAATTATTAAATTTCTGTCAATCAATCTGTTTTCAAAAGTCATTCAAGAAGCATGCTCCGAACATTTACTTACATGTTAAATACACAACAGCAGCTGGCATGAATACAGAAATGAGGAGAATCAAAAAGGAAAGGAATATTACGGCTGAACTGGGAAGGAATTCCCCCAAAAGTTTTTCACAACAATCAATATCTTGCAGTGATTGCTGTACCAGTGAAATTTCAGACAGCTATATTCCCTTAATTTGCAGTTCATCACTCATGATTGCTAAATATAATATTGATCCCTTGAGGAAACTAGACAGTGTTTTTATTGTTGTTTTTTGTTTTGTTTGTTTGTTTTTTTTCCTTCAGAATAGGGAGTAATTGAGCTTTCCTTACTAACCTTCTAGCTCAGGATAATAATACTGATAACAACCAAACTTCATTCCTTTTGAAGATTCTATCACAGGTTGTGTACCACAACATAAAAAGAAGTCCATTTTCTTGCAATCTCGAGTTCTGAAGCATAAAATATAGGTGCCATTTTGAATTCTATCTGTGTTCTACTATACTATCACAGCAAAAGATTTAATTACTGTAACATTATTTTTGTACCCACCGAAACTGTTGACAAGCAACCAAAACCTTACAGTCTTGACAATCTCGAAAAAACACACTAAAAACAACAAAACAAAACATTCAAATTAGCTAATTAAAATTAAATGAATCATTAATGCAGCATAAGCAGAGTCTGTGACAAATTCTGAATCAGTAAATGAGGAATTTGGAAGGACCATATAAGAAGGCTGGAAAGAAAAAGGAAAAAAAACTGAAATCAATGAAGCTTCTGCCTCTTTTTCTGAAAATGCCTCCTTTTAGGAAGTAGTCCACAAATGTCTGTGGTTAATCTGCACCTTAAGAACAAGAGTAAAACAGATGATCCTAACCTGCCTGCACATGGGCCAATCACAATCTGGCAATTTACACAGTCATCTACTGTTATGGTATCTGCATGATCCAAAATGAAGATTCTGCATTCCTGCAAGAAAAAAGACATTCTAAGTTACGATACATCAGAACAAATATGCATTATTGTCAATGAGAAATAACATTTATGACAAAGCCCTTCTACCTTGCAAGATTTCAATCTTAACACAATAATAAAGTACACACGATAGGTCCTAAACAAACTGATCAAGAGCAAGTTCAAAGCAATTCGACACCTTTGCTTAACCTCAACACCCCGCCCCCCCCATCTCCCCCACTAACCCTCACCCACAAAAAAAATTAAGATTCCTGTCTGAGGTTACATGAAGATCTGTTGTTTACTCTTGCTACTAATACGCAAGTCTTCTTTCCTCCCAATGACAGTCACCAGGTGCAAATAGTCACTGACGGTAAATTATACGCACATGTACATGCATTTCTGTTTTATTCCAGATCTTTACTGGTTTAAAATCTTTCCAAATAAGTATGATTTTTGTTTTTCTTTGACTCTTATTATTGTAATGGGTCTGAGACAAAGGGAATGAAACCCTTACTGCTATGAAAAATTTTGAATTAAAGCATTAACGGTATCACCACTTGATCTTTGATCGAATTGTTTTAAATCATTTTATCGAAGCCTTCAGACAGGTAGACTGTGAATCGCTGAAGATTTATCCAGCGAAGTCTTACTTAACACCCATCTTGGAAGCTCTTTATTCTGATTAAGCTTAAGTTCCTGGCAGGTGAACCCCATAATCAACCTAGGCCTTGCCTTGTTGTTTTGAATGATGAACTGCTGGCCATTAATTTCGCCAGGCATTTTCGCAGCAAGTTCGCCCGTCAAATCTCCGATAGTGTAATCCTTGGGATCTAAGCGGGGTCCTTTTTCCCTAAAAAGCGAAAATTAAAAACATTAATTAGAAAATGCCATGAAATTCAAATATTGGTAATAAAAAAATGTTAGTCATTGCTTTGACATCTGAGGGCTTCGATTCCTTGATGACAATGTCATCCCTAGCCTCGTTGGAAATAAAACTTGCCAGCTGAACGTCGGTTTTTCATTGGTTTCTTCATTTGCGTTACTATCCTCCTTCGATCCCAAGCAACCCATGGTATTTCCTGTGTTTTCAGCCTTCGAAGTCGCTCCAAAAGCTGTGCATTCGATAGAAGTAGATGAACAAGCATACAGTAAAATTATACTTAAAGGACTTAGGAACCTGGCCAGGAAGGCGTTACCAGGGGTACTCGCGACGCCACTCGCAAGACACGCGTGTTTTCACGTTCCTCGAATGATTTCACTTCATTTCTTGCTGTTCTCATGTGCTCTTTCAAGAGTGACTCTGCTGGGTGAGGATAAGATTGTCATACTTTTTTGTACATAAAACAGTTCGGGTCTTCGTGCGCTAATGGCCAGGGTAGGTTAAATTTGCAAAATGGAACCGCAGACTAGCAAGAGACACCACATCGTGCGATCCCTTTAGAAATATAAGGGCTTTGTTTGGTCCTTGCTTATTCGTCAAATTCATGAGGGAAAACTGCTACCTCCTTGGGCGGGACTAGGCCCTTATCGATTGTGCTAGTCGAAGTAGCATATTGTGCGACTGGCACTGCTCGATTTTTTTCCAGGTACACTTTAAATTTGAATTACAGTTTTTGGTGACATCACTCATTCATCCAAAGTCATGATCTTCATTTCGAGTTGGAGTTTTGCTAAATAGCGCTTTATACTATTACTAAAAATATATTTTGTTACGTGATAACCTATGAGACCCCCCGCACAGACTCAGACAAACATTGCGACCAGGTTAAGGAAATGTATGAGCGAGAGCTGTAAAATTAAAACAAAACGACGGAAAATTTCGTCAAAAAATGACTTGGCGTTCTAAAAGGAAGCGGCATGGTTGGTACCAAACACTGTTGTTGGGGTGAGTGTACGACAGACTCAAGATATGCAGATAAATGGCCAAAATCACTCAAAGAGTGAAAGGAATTAGGGAAGAAAGTATTCATTCCTTTCCCAAAACCTTCGCGAGACATGGCAAAGTGCAAGCGTTGGCTAGTGGCTTGTTCGCGTGAGTTTTTTACAGAGAAAAACATAACAAGAAACACTTAATTTATTTTTGTGCTCTTCACTGGCCCGGCGAAAGAGGTCCAACTGCCGAATTTCCCGATACACTGAAGGCAAATCTAAGACCAGCGCAAGTAAGTTGAGCACATGCTCCTAAGAGGAAAGCACCGAAAGAAAGAGAAAATTCAGCGTCAAAGAAACAGAAATTACTCAATGACAACTGCATGAACATTAACTACATAAACTACATGAATTGGCATTTAATAGAAACACAACCAGTATTGAGCGCAATATATAAAAATCCGCCGCTCGTATCTTACAAAAGAGGGCGATCGCTCAAAGAGATACTCGTGAGGGCCAAACTTTGAATAGGCTATTCTAAACACGCGCTGGGGAGTCGTGTAGGCCTGTCAACCCCCTTTTTACATTGTTTACATCAGAATTTTCTTGAAAAACTTTTGGCAGCAAACCATTTTCCATGATCGATTGCCGGATCAAGGGTGTGATAATTCTCTCATCTCACACAGTCTGTACAAGATCTTCTCGTTTACCGCTTAATTTTAAGCCCCTACATTTAACCACCGTTTTAGCTGGTCTACAGTGTATTCTTCCGGTTCTCTTTCAAATTTGGAGCCAGAAACGCCGTCCTCTTCGGTCAGAACTGTAGGGGAATAAGCGAACTACTCGCCATTTCCCTTGTAGCTCTTAAAGAAGTGGAGATTGTTTGTCTGAGTCACGCGTGGGGTCTAAAATTTCATGACGTCATTAGTATAAAGCGCTAGTGAGTTGAAATGATTCTGATGGAGCCTGGAAACGAGTTTGGCCCTGATGTTTCAGTTCTCTCACAAATTATTATTCAGTTATTACTCAAAGGACGATGAGGACATTCATGACTCCCATTTTGACGTGATTTATTCAAAGCAAAAGAAGGAGTTCGTAAAACGGTCGGCCTAAGAGAGATTTGGCACGACTTGTTGAGTGTACAATCCGGCAACGACGGCTCTGTTCATGGCTGTTCTCGCCAATAAAGAGAAGTCATTCGTAGCGTGCAAAAAGAGGTCTTCCTAAGTCTACATGCTCATATCATTTCACTGTACGAATTAAATGTCTCTTCTAATATTTTCTGTTGGGATCTTCGCTGCACGCCTTGCAAACATCTTTAGCACCTCCTCCACCTTTTGTAGACATTTGAGATGATGTAAAAAAAAGTACACCTTTTGGGCATCTCGTTGCATTAAAAAAAATTGATTCCATGAACAATATCTCTACTGAGATGTCTCATAATAAAATGAACCACAGAGATGGTTCAGCAGTTAGGTCTCTTACATGCATTTAAAAAAATCCCTAAGTTTAATTTTTATGCTATGCCTTATAATTTGTCAGAATGGACCTTCTCCTTCCTTTTCCGATTTATACCGCGGGGCGGGAGTCACAGCGAAATATCAGAGATTCATCAGGTGGAGTTCTTTGGCATCTGCATCTTACTTTTTCCCTCGAAACCAAAAACAAAAGAGGACAAGCTAAACCATTCCTGTTAATCATATGTTTCATAATTCTACAAGTTGTTTTGACGTCAGCTCATGTAGATCTTTGATCGCACGACGTCTTTTTCTTTAAAACATTCTGAGTAGATTAGCTTCGCCAAGTAAAGATGAAAGCCAACAATTAGAAAAGCTATCGTCACCCAGAACTTTGCTGGGAGCCCAGAACGGCGATGGACATGATGATTCTTGAGCGACTCTAGAAAAAAAAATTGAAACATACGCATTTAAACAAAGTTAAGGGCAATGAATTAAGTTTTCAACGACATAGTTTTTTGGTATCTCCGATGGTTAGAACATGCTCAATGTTTAATTTGTAGATCGAGGACAGCCCTAAAGCTTGAATGCATTAAGGGTAATTTGGATTGACTCTCGAAAGTAATGCGGTTTTGCACTGATCAGATATACCAAACAAAAAGCGACCGCGACTCAGTTATCTAAGCCATCTGAATTTTCTTGGCTTGAAGTCCTTTGAGCGTCTTTTTTTTTTTTTATTTTTTCATTTATTCACGATTTGCAATACGCCTTTACTCAGTTTATCCCATCGAAGGGCTAACGCTCGAAACGTCAGCTTTTGTAATCGTTACGGTGGCTAATTTACCATTTCAACTTTGTTGATATATCCAAATTATCCCATCCTAGTTCTTCTTCAGAACTGTTTTGTCACGTACTATCCCTTTGCTGTCCATGCAGGTAACAGTAATGCTCTAAGTCCATCTTACCTTCATGTGCATCCTTAATAAAAACATGTTTTCTAAGCTCTAGTAGTTCCGACTTGTTATGAGATATGTATAGCAGCGGTGTGACAGGTCTGGTCATGCGCACTGGGAAAGTCACTTCAGCCTCACTAAAATAAATGACGTGACATTTGTTTCAGCTAAGAGACGGCAAGTTATTTTATGCTGATGTAACGGGGTTCTATAAAATCGAAATGAAAATAAATAGTTTGATACCAAATTTGCAATTCTAACACTAGCATTACTAATATGGTTTCATTTGATGTGGCATTTGAGAATAACATACTTAAAACTTTAGATAGAGCAATCCTTCAAACTTTTTTTTTCTGTTAGTATCAACCACAACAAGCTTGTAAGACCAACTTATTTTTTGGTTTAAACTGCCTTGTTTATCACCCGCTCAAACCGCTAAATAGTCAATGGCGACACGAAATTTTCACAATATAATAATAATAATAATAATAATAATAATAATAATAATAATAATAATAATAATAATAATAATAATAATAATAATGAAAATTGTTTTGCATGGCTCAATAAATGGCAATGTGTATGATGCACGATCCTCGCAGTAGAGAGCGCTATGTATGCAATTGCGATTTTTTTCAGGTCTGATTTTCGCTATTGCTTAAATAGCGCTATCTACTGCGAGGATCGTGCATCATATGTATCTAATACCGCAGTACAAAATCTATGAACTTCATATATTTTATTGTATCTCATTTATCACTTTCACGGGTTTATTACGAACCAACTTAACGGCCTGCTCCCAGTTGGCTTGTTAGCTCAATTGGTAGAGCGCTGCACTAGTATCGCAGAGGTCAGTGGTTCGAATCCCGTACAGGCCTGATTTTTTTCAGGTCTGATTTTCGCTATTGCATAAATAGCGCTATCTACTGCGAGGATCGTGCATCATACGTATCTAATACCGCAGTTCAAAATATATGAACTTCATATATTCATTGTATCTGATTTATCACTTTCACGGGTTTATTACGAATCAACTTAACGGCCTGCTCCCAGTTGGCTTGTTAGCTCAATTGGTAGAGCGCTGCACTAGTATCGCAGAGGTCAGTGGTTCGAATCCCGTACAGGCCTGATTTTTTTCAGGTCTGATTTTCGCTATTGCATAAATAGCGCTATCTACTGCGAGGATCGTGCATCATACGTATCTAATACCGCAGTTCAAAATATATGAACTTCNAAAAAACATCTTAGTATTGGGCCAATTGACACTTTTATCGTTTTATATTGATCATTTATATTTAAGTAGTATTAGATATTATTATAGTTAACAGTCTCGTCATGCAGATAGGTTACGAATTTTCGCCCTATCTTGCTTAGCTCACTAGCATCCAAACGTGTATACTGCATAATAATAATAATAACAACCTTTATTTAGACACGATAATGTTTAAAGCTGAACAGCTTGTGGGGTCGTATGTAAATGCAAATAAACTCTAAATTAAATAAATTCAAATGATGATGGTTTTTGAGGAGAGGGGAAAACCGGAGTACCCGGAGAAAAACCTCTCGGAGCAGAGTAGAGAACCAACAAACTCAATCCAGTCATGACGCCGGGTCCGGGAATCGAACCCGAGACACATTGGTGGAAGGCAAGCGCTCTCACCACTACGCCGCAATCATTTCTTGCTATTGAGATTTCGTGACACTGTGTGTGTGGCACCACACAGGCGTTACTACTCACCCGACTTCCAAAGGATCATATTGGCAGCCTGCTTCGCAAGCGTAAAGAGGCGTCTTGCCACCCTTAACGGGTTTAACCAAAAGCTTTTCTGCATGCCCAGTTTCAGCGTTCACCAGTACGGTGAGATATATGTCCATATCTTCATACAGGTGAATATGACGAAACACGATTGTTGTGTGTAGCGAGGCGGGATTTGCCGCGAATTCAAAATGTCCGGCTGAGAACTGCAAGCCACCAAAACTGAGCGTGATGGCTTGGTTGATACCAACGGCACCTCAATAAAGATAACGAAAGTACAATTAAATTAAAGAAAAGAAGCTTAAGTGTTCAAAAAAAAAAAAAACTGCAAGACCAAACTGACTACTAAACAGTCAAGGATAACGAACATCCCCGAAACTTTTGTCAAGCTTTCACGACAATCTCGGACATTCCTAATTCTTCCCTTCGAGGTTTGAAGTATAATGCACACGCCCCCTCCCACGGGGTAGGACAGGAGAGCCCACTCGAAATTTACGAGCTCCCATGAGAGTGTTTGGCCGTGAGCGTTAACCACTTTTCGATGTTGTCCATAGAAGAAAGCAAGGGAAGGGCGATAGATAGCACCTTGCCGACAATTCTGACGTCAATAATGCCTAACAGCATGAACAAAACCAGGCACGTATTTGGAATATATGTTCATTTTTTCAATAAAATAGCTGCGTCACGGACAAAAAATGGCTATTTTTGATTACACAGGATTGGCCAGAGGTCACTCAATCGTGCCAAAAAGAGGAACACCCAAAACCTTTGAATAACATTCTCAACTGACCCTATTTATTTTTATTTATCTATCTTCACCCGATACCTGCTTTTACAAGTGCACTGCATCCATTCTGTTCCAACAGTCTCTGCCATAGGGCCGCTATTTTAGTAACACCTGACTCGGTCCGGGGCATGGGCCAAAGTGAGGCCGAGTGCCTATGAAAACAAGAAAGAAACAACTACTGATATGAAAACTAACTTGGTGGTCTTACGTTGTAGTGTGCGTGTCGCTCGTCCCGAGACCACGCTAGTTCCGCGCTGGTAGGGGTACACTTACATAGTGGGTGGGCCACCAAAGCAGTGATCTGGAATATGAAGAAGTTTCTCCATTTCATCTTTGTGTGCCTGAGGGTTCGATGCTCCATTGGCACGAGAAGGAAAAGACGACAAGACATAATACATTGTAGTGTTGACCTCTAGACCGGACGGTGTATCAGGATCATGTCGTGGATCCACAAACAAACCTGTCTCAGTCAACTAGTAAATCAAATAACACAACACTCGGTTAGTAAAACCCCCGAAGTACTCATCAATTAATACTCTAGTGCAATAACCCTAAGGTTTAATGCCCAGCTTCTTCAAGCCACTCGGTATAGTGGCATAATGTTCATGATCACCAAAGATAAGGGCTAGTAGGCCCCGGTCACACGTTATGGGAATACAACGTAAATTCAAGCATGAATAAAATTCCTTGACAAATCATCCCTAACCTCTTTCCAGGCTGTGGCGTGAGATTCTCTTAATGATTCTGGACTATCTAAAGAGACAAGAGCTCGGAGTTCCTGTAGCGTGAAAAAAAACTGAATTGAATACACTGAAAATTCACAAAACTTTTGTTTGGTTTTCATTTGTTCCTTTGATGAGTTTTCAAAATAATCCATATCCACAGTACGTCCAGAGAGACCCAGCTTGCTTAATCGCAAGGTACTTCTGAACTTACAATATATTTTTTTTTCTAAATCGTTTTGCATAATTTGAAACTTAAAAAGCTATGCTAGTTGTAATTCCACAGGAGTTATCGAACACATGTTAGAGATACGGGTGGGTAAAGCTAAATGAAAATGATTGTTGGTGAGTAGCTTTGGTGTAGTTTTAGAAGAAAAAAAAAAAAACCAGCGTCGCCATCTCTAAGTCTTGTGTTTGATTTCGATACCTTTTCTGCTTCTTCCTGAAGTTTTTCAATGTTCACACGCGGAGCGGGTTTTAGACTAAACAAACTTGATGTGTGAACGACTGTTAAGTGACGCAAAATTCCAGTACTGCAAGGAAGAAAACGAAAGCACTTTTAGAACACCTCAGAAATTCTCAGCAGCGAGAATTCCTCAAATGTTCAGTTCCCCTCACGAAAATGTTCATTTCCCCTCTCAAGTTCCTTTAAATATAAATATAAATACGTAAATTAAAGCTCCCCCCTTAGGGGCTTTTCAGCCACAATGTAAACTAACTGCTTAAAAATACCCACTGGCACTGGCACTGGCACTGGCAGGACGCAGACTAGTGGGCTACTTACAGAGCGCAGCTGAGGAGTTGTATTGGGAGCAACCGAGAACAAATCCAGTGAGTGGCAGGGTAGGGTAGAGGATGTTCCTCCCCTCATGTTCAGTTCCCCTCACCTAATGTTAATTTTAAGGTATTAATGTTTTTCGGTCGAGCATTTTTGAAGGTACAAACTGGGTCTCACAGAAAACACTTCAGTGTAGAGATGAGCATTATGCAAAATTAAATTTTTCTTACTAATCCTTGGAAACTATGCAGCTAATGTGCCAATCAACTCGAAGTTTCAACATCCCCCCCCCCCCCAATCGGGCAAACCGTGGGCATTTGACTGTCGTCCGTGCTCTGTGGGTGGGGAATTTGAACCTTGCCTGGGTGGGGTGGGGAATTTGAACAATTTTAAATATGGAGGGGTTAAAGGTAAAGGTCCTCTTTTGCAAGCAAATGGCTTGGAAGAAACTTTTCACATCGTAGAATGATGCTCACAAGTGAAAAAAAAAACAAACAGGGACATCATGTGACCTTGCTAAATAGTACAACATCACTTGATTACACAAAGGATCCTTCAGTGAAAAAATGTCCTTGAGTGGGGCATTTGAATGCAATTTTTGCCCAGGGGCGGGGGTGGGAATTTGAACGAACCAATGTTCAAAAGTTCAATGCCTGGGGGAAGGGAATTTTACAGCTTCGAATTAAATGATGCACTGCTGTGAATTAACACAGGTCACTCAGATGGATGACTTTGGTTACAATTAAAAATTAGTCCCCAATTCTTTTCACAACTGGCCAGAATAACTACAATCACAGCTTGGAGCAAAATGCAAAGGGGATAAATGTTCGAGAATTTAAGACTTGAAAAACAATTACTTGCGATGGAAGTCGTTATCTGAAACTCCAAACCATACATGAGTTCTCCTCAGTTAAAAACTATTTTTATAAGTAGCTCAAACAATTGTCACATTACACAGTACAAATATTACATTACACAGTACAAATTTCATTCATCTACATTTGTACATACACTCCTCACTAGTTAACTACTAAACAAAACCTTTATCGGACCTCTGTCCTTGTACTGTCATTTCTGATGGCACTCTAGATGTAGCTATTGTAACATTGATGTCAGGTTCTGATTTATCAGCATGGGCAACTTGTCCATGAGAGAGAGTGTAGTGAGCTTTGGATGGGTCCATAGTTCTTTCAAAGCTGAAATGAGATACATTCAATCAGTAACAAAGAAGTCTTCAGTACAACTGCCACAACCTTGTCCAGGTACTAGGCGTGAGGAACAACTGTTGAAGAGGTGCATGTAACAAAGTGATTGCTCCTTATTGTCATTTGTTGATCGTCTCAGTTACATGTTCTGAGTGAGGCATAGAAGCATAACTTCAAAGATCAGCAAAACTCAAAAACACACAAATGAAGATCAAGAGACTCTCAATATCAAGTAACATACAAAATATATCTGCATCTGTGAAAATTTCCTTTTTATTTCATGTAATCTTGTCTTGCACAATTTTTTATTTACTTGGTCAAACATCATTCTCTTAAAATTAAAGAGGTCTGCCAACAATTTCTTTCCACACCAACCTCATTCTAGAGTCATACATACATGAAGGATTCCTTTTCTTTGAGAGAGAGAGAGAGAGGGAGAGAGTTCATTATTCTAAATACATGACTATGCTACTTTGGAAAAATGATGCTGGCTGTTCATTAACTAAAGAGAAATAGATTTCCCTTCCTAAAAAGGTACTCATCAAGAGGACTACACACTTTGCACAAAACTAACAATTACATGTACCTCAAACTTTTAGTGGTGGAACCTTTCCAAGACTTTGCGCCTTCGTGTGTCAGCAACACTTTGATTCCAGAATGCTGATTAAAAGTAGGCATAATATGCTTAGAGTATTCACTTATTTCAATAATTCCTATATAATAAGATCTTTGACTTATCTTAGTTCCCTTTTGGTGAGAAAATAAATTACAAATTTCTTTATTGACAACCAAGCTAAAACTGTACCATCTCCCTTGAAAATAATGGAATTGAAATGAAAAGAATGGGAAGACCTGTGAAGATGGAAATATCTCTTTGCAGGCCTTTCGCACTGATGGGAAAAATGGGATGAATTAAAGAATCAAACAAAAGATTTGCCTACAGACCCCATGATTAACCACCACAACTTCTTGGACAAAGACAGAGGATTGACTGCGATGAGCATAAATCACATTCTCAACAATAACACATCCATGGCTCTGTTAATAAAAATAATTCCAATACATTATCACAAACTAGTTAAAGATAAATTAATTACCGGTACTTGAGCATTATTCTATTGATAGTTAATTTCAGGTACCTTATTTTGTATGTTGCTCCAACGAAGGGCTAACGCTCGAAATGTCAGCTTTTGTAATCGTTACGGTGGCCAATTCACCACTTCAACTTTGTTGATATATCCAAATTATTTGGGAGTGATAGTTCACAGTTATAAATGTGAAATAAAGCTAAATGTGTTCAAAACTGTATACTTCAAGAAAAAAAATACAAAAAATAAAAGTCTCTTTTGAACTCCTTGAGGTTATTATCAAGTTACAGGTGTAAGGTTTAAGGCCTAAGCTTCATTTGACTTGAAATCCAATGTGCCTCACAGTCTCGAAACTACATGTACATGTAATTCTTTTTTTTTTATCATAAATATTCAGTCATGGATTAAACAAACCATGGAAAACTGGTAATCGAAGAAAAAACATCATCAACATTGAGACAGATGTAAACGTAAGAACAATTTCAAAAGCTATTCATAACATTATCTCTACTTATCATCACTGACTATTGTATATGTTTTGTATATCATTTGTCCAAACATAAAATAATTAGTTCACACAGCATTTACTTACAAAGGAGTAGGTTTGAAGTTGATGAACCAAACCTTGCTTAAGATCAATAATTGTTGCCTCTAAGTATAAAAGGAAGTGATTATCAGTCCAACACAATCATAAGAATCATATTCAACACTTAAGCCCTTTAACTCCAGCGAGTGACTGAGACAGAATTTCTCCTTACACTAACAAGCAGGCAAGTGATGAGAATAAAGAAAAATATTAACATGGGGATTATTAGTTGATCCAATACCAAGTTCTCCAATGTAACATTTATAAGAATTGTATGGCAGACCATAAGGAGAATTACTAATGAGATCTTAGCAGTGAAAGGGCTAAGTCTGAACTACTGTAATTTTTTTTCCAGACATACATCATTTGCAGTTAAGTTGTATGTCAGCTGGCATGTACAAGAAATTAGAAGGTTACTGGAGACCTTGAAAAAAAAAAAAAATGAGCTGGGTGCCCTGATTGTTTTAATTTATAGAATAATAATTAACCATACATCTAGAAATGCAACACTATGTACCGGTACATGTACCTTTTGGTTTGGGAACATCAGTAACTTTTGCAGTCACAATTGGGGAGAATGGTAGCTTCAGCCATTTCATGCTGGGTTGAATTAATGCTATATGCATAAAAGAACCGTCTGTGGTCACAACTCCAACATTACCATTCCCTGAGAAGAAAAAGACAAAATTTAATATGTACTTATGAAAATCAATACATATACAGGTAAGTCCTGCTACCTGTGGTATAATAAACATTTATCAATTCATGAAAATAACATACACATAAATTTCATGTAACACAATCATATCATTATAACACTATAAGAAAAGTTATATGGTCAGGAATACTTCAAGATGACTGTATCAAAGGTTATGATTAGTCAAAAGTCTATTTTATCATCCTGATATATTTAAACACTTTATCAATTGTAATAGAGGTAACTTGTGCATGTACTCTGAAGGTTATGACAAGTTATGACAAGGCCAACCAGCAAGTTTATCAGCAGCAAGGACCTATCTCTGCGGAAACTGAGCCGTATGGGACAATCTCTATGCTAGTTCACAATTAAGATTTGGTATACAGTTTTACAAAAGGGTACATGCATCTACATGTAGAAATTATATTGCAGATCATACAGAGAAATTATAGGTTGCTTAGGTGTAGAACGTATGAAAGTGTCATAAAAAAACTGCACAGGGGTTGAGAGATACCAAACACAAGTAACAAGCACATAATTTATGTTATTATTTACCAACAAAAGGTAAGTATGGATTTTCTGATTTTTCACGTGGTTTATGTATTATCACCACATCACCATCTGCAGCCTCTTGTTTCCACTTTACCAAAACATCACTTAGGCAGACTTTATCATATGCTACATGAGAGAATTGTAAACAATAGAAACATTAACAGTTATTCTATTGCAGGGCTGCAAATAACAGCCAGTCAACGGACAATGTCCGGTCAAAATTGGGTACTGACTGGACAAATCCTTGGATTGCCGGGCACCTTATCCAGTCCTTTCCTGACTCGTTCAAAGAAATTTTAATTTTTAACTGTTTGATAGTCACAAGGGACAACAGTCATGTTTCCAAAAGAAAAAAAAAAAGAATATAAAAGTAGACAAATTAGTGGTCGAGAAATTCCCGGCAGTCGGAAATTTCCACGATGTCATAAAGTCCTGTCGCGACCGCATTTATTATTGTGTCTTCCGTAATTTTATTTACTTTATTTAAGCGTTCTCAGTTAGTAGAGGGTTTTGCGTTTATTACGGGCATTTTTGACTACTTTAAAACAAGAACTTTTCGCTGCAAGCACACTACTTTTTCAAAACAGGTGTAACAAGCAGTATACAGAATGTTTACCAGATGTTTTAGGAGGCTGCCCCTGCCTGTGGTAGGGCATGACAAACAGGTGTCACAAACAGTATAAAGAATGCTTACCAGGTGCTTCAGGAAGCTGCCCCTACCTGTGGTGGGGGCATTACAAACAGGTTTCACAAACAGTATACAGAATGCTTACCAGGTGCTTCAGGAAGCTGCCCCTACCTGTGGT